CTGCATCTTCTTGCATAAGCTTAATTTTGTGTGGGATGTCTCGGAAAGCGTTCTCAGCCTTTTCACCTCGGTGGTTGGAAACTGATCTCCTTGACCAATAAGCACTGTGACCCCGGATTATTGTTTTTTATTCTGGCGCAGGTCGCGTGCCTCCAAGACTCTAAGAGCCCAAGAGAACTCTTAATTTTACTTCATAAACACTGGCAGGACAGAGAATGAAGAGATGAGCCGTGAATTCGCTGCTATATACTCCGTAGACTCGTAAAAACTACGACCAACTGTTCTTCCGATCGTTTCTCTTCGATATGAGAAACGTTTACCGTTGAGCTATATCGAGGATCAACGATCAAGGTAGAGTAGATATGGGATGCAAGATCATCTTGCCATGAGGCTGAAAGACTATCCCTTGTCACAGTCGATCCACAGTACAGTCACTCGAAAGATGTCAAATGCAACTCTATTCCTCAAAGCAATTCAAGTCCAAGGTCCTCGCAAGGCCATCAGCCTTCTACACTTCTACGGTATGCGTCTGAAGAAACATTTTGTCTGAACGTTAAATTATGATTCTCTCCAGTAAAGAAGCCAACGAACAGGAGAAATAATTGATACGCTTCCACCCAGAACGATGGCTCACAAAGATGCTATCCAGAAGAGATATTAAATCTCCAATCCTATCAGCTCGGAGGTCGAAAAATCAAAACTACCTACCTAATGTTTGGACGCTTGATAATAGTAGGGAGCCAGTCAATCTTTCCACCCATTGAATCTGGAAGCAACCATCGGATTTCGCAATGCCCACGATACGTGCTCCTTACACATGTACAGAGCCAGGATGGGATGTAACTTCCCATAATACGGCTCACTGCAACTGCTGTCACTGTTCGAGCCCTTTTTCAACTATACATCTATCTCCAACTCTTATGCATGACATGATACATCCACTTATTACCTTTTAACCAGTCTTATTCATTTTCATCTTTCATGGTACCCCAGTAGTACATTCACTTTGATGAGATAGGATCTCGACAATCATGGCTAAACCCGAGCGTCCGCGTCTAACAGCTGCTTCTCCTTCAAACTCCCCATCAACTATAGCTTTGGACGAGCTGGAAGGTGTCCAAGAGACCGTTGAAGACCCCTGCTTCTTGCAACTGCATGGCTCCAAGAAAATAAAAAGTCAATGCTATGGTAATAAATCCGTACCTCGACAAGATAATGACGACTTCATAACGATCCCATCAGCTCTACAAGACAGCCATGATCTCCCCGCTCGCCTTTGTGTCGGAAATTTAGCAGCAATTGTGCGACCAGCTACACTTGGACACTTCTTCATTGAAAGCGGATTCAAAATCAACAGCGTGGATATGTACATCAACCTCACCCTCAACAACTTCTGTCATGCTATAGTTGAGTTTAAATATTCCACGGAAGCCGAGCGAGCCATGAATTCCCTCCATGGCTACGTCCTAGTTGGAAGACCTATGGTTTTCCAGGTGGAAGACACTGCGAATAGCCTCGATAATAGGCGGACTGAGAATGACTGGCTCAAGGTCTAGTTTTCTGAAGACGGTCACTTCAGTAAGTTGTGCTACGGGCAAGACAGTATATTTTGCTGACAGAGTAGAAGCAAGCGAGGATGATATTCTACCGTCCAAGCATCCCAAGAAGGAAAAGAACAACAAGTGGGCCAAACATTGCTTAGGATTTGAAAGACCCGAAATAGATGATAGAGATAGATGTGTCTTAGTTGGCGACCTACCAACCTACGTGCCCAGACAATTCGTGGATGCTGGTCTAAGGTTGTTCTTCTGTGGATGCAATCTGGAGGCCATTTCCGATTGCTTGTTTCGATACGCCATCAAAGGTTCACAACCTCGTCAATCTCAAAGACGTGGATTGTACTGCTTCGTTCGGTTCAGGACAATACAAGACGCGGGTCGAGCGGTGCTGGCACGGAATGGCGCACAAAGCATTTGGAGTGGTGCACGATTGACAGTTGACCCCATTGAGAGTTCTATATTCGGAGTGTATCCGACGATGCAGGCAAATAAATTCATTTCTCATTAAGACACGCGCCGGCACCAATCGACATAATGAATGGCATGCTACCATCTTAATACGGATGAAGCATTCAGTGGTGAAAAGTAAACAAATGGTAATTATCGCATTTCGGGGGAGCGCGCTCGGTGTTTTTCCAGCACACCAGCCATCGTGAAGCTTACAGAAACTCGTTAGTGGCCAGTATGGCAATGATAAGTCTGGGATAGGTCTCCATGCCTATCACTCGCAATTACTAAAGCGCCGACGTCGGAACATCCGGGATGATCTTCATGAACATATCTGAAAGCTGTTGTCACAAAACATAGAACTCAACTCCTAACGACTACAAGCAGGAAAGTACTTGGTCAATACATATCGCTGAATCTGGTTCATCCTCGTGGTTCTTGGTGGTGCAATGTCAAATGTATTCCATTACGAGCAGAGGAAACTACAAAATGACCTCGTTATTCTTGAGCCTTTTAATGTGAGTTTCATTTTTCCAAAAGGGAATCGTCTTTTGCATAGAGGGCAAATTCGTTGGTCGATGTTGTCATATCCACCACCATACCTGCCAACTGTTAGGCGTCATGCTTAGGCATTGTATCTAATTTGCATGATTTGATATGCAAGAAGAGACTCGGAAATCTCTGTCTAGCGACAGCCGTTAGCAGCCATGGCCATAGATGATAGAGGACAATGGATCAAGCCTTTTCGTTACTGTACATTACTCCAACCATCACTGATCTTTTATACGTCAGCCAGACATCCACACGTCGCAATTCCTATCGATCATCAAAACAAATCCTGATGTATTCAAATATATATCCTTTCCGAATATAGAAACCGAAGAAGATTTTAAGACCAGCTTCTACGATGGTATCGCCAATTCGCCGGACGAATGCTTCTATGCCATACTCGACAAAACCAAAGACACTGGAACAGAAGATACTGCACCAGGCTATGCTGGAGTAGCCTCTCTGTCAGCTACAAATCCAAAGAACGCCACAACCGAACTAGGAATCATTGTTTCTCCAGACTTTCAGCGCACACACGTCGCTTCGAATGCCATTGGACTCATGCTCTTGTGGACTCTGGACCCTCCATCCGCTGGTGGATTGGGACTGCGGCGTGTGGCGTGGACAACACATGCAGGGAATAATGCGTCAAGACGGATAGCGACAAGAATGGGATTTGAGTTTGAAGGTATTGCGCGGTGGGAGCGGGTTTGTGCAAAGGGAGTTGCGCTTCCAGTTGATGCACTAGAAAAGAGGAATGGCACAAAAGGGGAGGCGTCGGGTCGACATACTGCCATATTCTCTATGGTATGGGACGAGTGGGATATCAAACGGCCGCTCGTAGTTGCACGAATGGAGAAAAGATAGTGAAAGCTTCATGACCGACTTTAGACTGTTGCTCACAATGAAAACGTGATTGCTGGACGGCATCTTTGCAAGTAACTCTCTCGAGACTAAATGCAAAGCATTGACTGCGTTGATAATACTCATTGACTGCCAAGATGCCGGTTGATGGACTTTGCAACTGATTTCAGCTGGAAGATAAGATTGAGCACCATTCTTTTCGATTGACTGATCATAAAGGCTGAAAGCCATCCGGCAGAGGTTTGCTTTCAATCCAACATATCACAGCCTCCGCCACCAATTTCGGATCTTGTCTGACCCAAGCATGACGCATCCGTTTATGTTGAACAGCCATGCTCCGAGAATTTTCTCGCTGTGCTAGCAAAGCCAGCCACTTCGCATCCGCAGTGGAATCGTTTGTAAAAGGTCCTTTGCTTGCCGCAACCACCAATGTTCGAGCCGCGAAAGGTTGATCTTTTACAGCTCCATCATCCATAATCAAGTTCCAGACCTTTTTGAAATGCGCAAAGTCACGCGGTGTCGTGGTACTGTTATTATGCTCAATCTCATCCATCCAGCTCTTGGGTATCTTCGATCCAACGGTCTCTATAGCTGCTACTATATATGGAATATAGTTTTGAAGTGGTAGTGTATCGTATCGTTTGAATCCAGATAAGAAGCAGGTCTTGACAACATCTGGGAATTGTACTGCCAGTCTTCGTCCAATCTGGGCTCCCATGCTCATACCAACTACATGCGCTTGGCCACCTTTTGCGGCTTCCTTGATCAAGTCTCGCAAAAGCATTCCAGTTTCTAGACTGGCATTTTCCAGTTTCATGTTTTTGGAGTTGTTATGGAGTGGAAGATCCGGGACGATAAGATGATATTGCGTTGAGAAGTGAGGTATGACAAGATCCCATTCAGGGGCACCAGTCATTCCTCCGTGAAGGAGTAATATTGACTCGGTTCCCTCTGCATTGAAGATGAAATACGCCAAGCCATCCTCTTGGTTATTGAGCCTTAAAGGAGTGTCGAACTGTATCTGTATTGGACCTTTGGCTGACTCCATCATAAAGTCTGGTCTTCGACAAAGAGATCTGGTGGAAAGTACTGTGCGAACTCTTCGAGGCTTAAATCTCATCAACGACGATTCAAAGACTATTTGAGAGTTCCGCGACTGTGTTCCAAGGTTCTCAAGAGCAATACAGGAAGTAAGCTGCTGCTGCCTAAAGTGTCAGCGAAGACTTGGACTTGGTGGCTTGTCAGCTTGCATATCGTACACGTACTTGGTGGTGCATTTTCTGGTTCTGAAGATTGAAATACATGTAAGAGGTGTATTATATAATGAGTAGTATCCGCATTGTGGTTGATTGTTCCACATTCTCATTACTAATTGACATGCTGCGATGGCTTACTATATTTCTCAACAATGACGCAACTTCTTCAATTTCGTCTTTTGGCGCTGTACTAATTCTATTTATGAGCGGGCACTCCTTCAGGAAGCATTTTAGTGGCTTAATCCCCCATGCGCTCTGCTGCTGAACTAGCAATCTCAACGGACATTATATTCAAAAAAAACAAAACGTAAAGTTGCTTAGAAACGCCTTTGTGGCTTAGTGGTAAAGCGTCGCACTCGTATCTTTTACTATTTTAATGCGAAGATCATCGGTTCAATTCCGATCGGAGGCACATTTCTTTTGCTACCGTGAAGTCTTATTTTTGCTCACAAAACCTCTCAATGGACTACTGGTATGAAATCCGATTTTTTGCATCTCGTTATGGTTGTTAACGAAGGGAAGGTGGTGCTATCAGGCTGGCTTGGGATAGAGTATAAATCAGTGAACCATGTACGAGACAGGTAGGCAGCCATATTTTAAATGAAGAAGGTATGAGATAAAGAGATTGTGCTCTGTCTACGGCGAGCAACTACCTGTTAGTCTTAGACCTTGCTAGGGAGGGAAGCTTGCAGCGTGCAATAATGCGGTATGGACTTCGGATAATGGCAGCTCTGACGGCAACCAAGGGGTGTTAGTTATACTTTCTGCCGCTAGACTATTGAATCAAATGGACAGATGTTGATCATCGTAGAAGATAGTAGTAGTATGACATGGCGTGAAAACATAAGTGACCGCCATATATTAATCGACGACGAATAGACGAGAAAGAGAGTTCTGCCATACAATCGCTGGGTTTGGGCGAAGGAACACATCAATATAGAGTAACGAGATATTACAATCCGCTATCATTATACAACTTGCAGAACATTATGCGCCGCTGAGAGTCATGAACGGAAGTATTCAGTCCTGGCTTGATGCCTATGGAGACTTGTGGTACCGTAGGAGTAATCTGTAGTAATCGACATCGGCGATTGGAAAACACACTCTAGACTGCATGGACTACCATGGATTCAACCGCAGACCGAAACTTCCATTGTCTATCTCCCAACAGCACTCCTCAACCGTCCCTCAGCACCACCATCGCCCTCAAGTCCCCATCCCCTCACCGCCATCTCAACATCCCCCAAAAACGCCTCGCTATTCACCGTGCCCGTCCCACCCAGCACAATCCGCACGCCCGGCGTACTCGCATTTACCCCCGCCACCATCCTCGCCTCCTCATACGTCGCGCCCCCGACCACGAACACCAACACATCCTGCGCTTTATCCCTCGTCAACCCACCTCCCTCGACAAACGGATACACGCTGTCCCTTAGCTTGCCGCGCACCAAATCCTGGATCGTTGCTTCGAGACGTGGCGTATGTTGCGTGTAGACGTTGGCGACGCCCTTGAGACCGCGTTGGAGACGGGAGCGTGCGTCGGCGAGGAAGGAGGAGGATTGGAAGAGGGGTGGGACGAGGGTGTTTGCGGAGGGGATGGTGGAGAGGGTGGCGTGGAAGGTTAGGAGGTGGGGGATTAGTGCTAGGGAGGCAGGGGAGAGGGTTGTGTGGGTGCGGAGGGTGTCGAGGAGGGAGGGGAGGGCGGAGGTGGGGAGTTTGGAGTAGCGGAGGGCGTAGATTGCTACGAGGCGGAGTTTGTTTGTTGGTGGGATGTGGGTGGCTGTTAGGAGCATTTGGAGTTTCTGGAAACATATTAGCCAGGATGATCAGAGGAATGGGAGCAAGGGGGGATGTACTTTGAGATCTTGGTTGTGGTTGTCGTTGCAGGCGAGACTTTGTTCGAGTTCAGAGACGTCGAGGAGGTCTTCTTGGCCGACGCGGCGGCTGAGTTCGCCGACGAGGGTGATGTGTTTGGTGACGTTGGAGGAGAGTTTACGGAACTCGGGATATTCTTCGACAAAGCGCTTCATGTCGCCTATCGAGTTCATTTCCTGGGTTCCTTGGCGCTTTGAGGCGTACTGTTCGACATATTCTTTGGCGTTTTGGCCTAGATCGCCAAAATTTAGGAACATGTTTTTGGCAAAGAATGGATCTGTATCCTGTTGAAGTACAATTTCCTGGAAAGCATTAGTGGATAGAGGAGATGGACAGAGAATAGGAATAATACCTTCATCTCAGGCCTTATGTCTGGAACATCGCTGAGGTCTACCCGGCCATTCTTTACTCCTAAAAGTTCATGAACCATTGCTTGATATGTCCATTGTGTAAGTAGAGGCGTCACTGGATCATCTCTTCGATCTACTATCAGTAGAATTGGAGGCGTGTCCGGTTTTCGAAAGTCGAACAGTTGTTCTTCCTGAGTCATGCGGTATCGTACTTCAGTGGCCAGTTTCTTGGCGAGCAGACTGTTTCTTGCATATCGAATCAGAGGTTTCTTTTTCAAGGATAATATCAAAGCTAAGAGTCCTTCGGTTGATCGCTGAAGAGCCTCAGGGTTCCAGAGTTCTGGACTGGATCCCCAGATGCGGTGAGTAGGATAGGTTAGCTCAAGACTCATAAAGTCCGGGTTTATGACCATGTAATCGCCGAAATATTCTTGAACACTTCGTACTACTTCGTGATCATCTGCTTCTGCCAGTCGTTCCAGTGATGATTTGAGTACTACATTGCTAAAATCTGGACATGATTAGTGAGGAACCGAGCATGACAAGGAATACCTACATATGTAGTATTCGCCATATTTTGGCTCTCTTAGTTCGTCTATTAAGAGTTGGATGGACTCTGGAGATGGTCGAATGAAACACAAGCATCTCAGGTGACGCATCTTTTCACGGGTGGCATTTTCAAGACGACTATGCTTGGCATTAGTTGTGATGCATTAAGACCAGCATAAGGAGACAAACTCGGTAAGATAGACATCATGATTTAATAGAGCGGATTGAGTAGTGGCAGTTGATATGATAGAGACCTTTGACCAATCAGTGATGAAGTTTGGGAATAGCAAAGAGCAAATATACAGTCTCACGATCTAGCAAGAGGATCTTCATTTTTGCCGATTGACCAGCCGAGGGGCTGTCCCCAACGGAGACCATTTTTGTGATGTAGCCAGCAAGGGCCTGAGAGATATCCATGACGTCGGGTGCTGCGAGTATGAGTAAGAGGGCGTGATGTCTTGGTATGGTGGTGAGAACTGAGAGCCTAAAGGGGAGTGTTGCCTAGGAATGGAGATGCGTCACGCTTGGTGAATTGGTTCAATGTTTGCTTGAAGGGAGTCAAAGACAAAGCTAGTGGTAAGACGAATTGCTTGCCCGCTCCTTCGGGATATGATAGTTTTAGAAATGAGGGCGTGATGGAGGATAGATGTGCGTTGGAGTCTTGGAGAGGTGTCAAGTTGGCATGTACTCTAGAGTAGTTGACTGTCTTGACTTCCACTGGCATCAAGGGTCTAGAGGCGCCACCAACAACATTGAATGCAGAGAAGTTGAGGCTCTTGCAAGTTGCTGCCAGCCTGCCACAAATGTATCAATTGCGAGCAAAATTAGGTGGGCGATTGGCCAAGAACAGAGGTAACAGGGAGTAAAATTCACTAAATTAGGCTGAATCCTTGCCTATTTTCAGTGAGAAGTGAGAAAGAAAGAGGGCGCAAGGTTGGCCTCCGAACCACGCCACATGCATGATACCCGTGCCCCTGAGATCAGGGTCGTCTGTGAACACGACGCGCCTGAGTCTCCTAATAACTACTAGAATGTCTAACAAGATTTCCAAGAAATATATGCAAAGGCAGAACAGAGTGAACTTAAAATGTATTGCTTTACAAGATATTACAAGATATCACACTCAGAATAGCAACAGGCAAAGATAATAGAGGCTTACCGAAAAGACAAGCTGCGGAAATGCATGTTAAGGGAGCGGTTATACCGTCCCTGCAATATCGCCCTAGTTCTCCCATGTTCTCGCCGCCCTCCCTTCACACCACGGTCCACGACACCAACATCCAACAACTTATTAATAGTCACCGGTTTCTACAGCCTTAAAAACCTCCTCCTCCCCTCCTTCTGCCTGCCTGTCTTTTCTTTTGACTTCATTCTTTTGCTATGCCTTAGCTCTCCTCAATTATCTACTGCTTTTATATCGTTTCTACCTTGCCCTCGCTACTAGTATTTACATGGCCCAGCTCGACTTGACTTGCTCCAAGCTCCTCACCCTCAAGGACGCTTCCAAGTCCCTCTCAACTCTGTGTATGCTATCTTTCTAGAGCCATTGAGCTGTTCAGCTTGCTAACTTGTTCGTTCTAGGTCGATCACATCCTCTACCAGAATGTCCGACCCTGCTCTCTGATCGTAAGACTCCCATTGCAACTCAGTTCAGTCACACAAACTCCCTATACATACATTACTCCCCCGATAGCAAGCTATGCGCCGGCCTCCACACCAGTCGCATACAAAATCTATTGTTATAGTCGCCCATTCTACGCTCTTCTCATCTCCTTCCTGACTTTACACGCACCATCACTGGTCAGACTCTTTTATCTTGCCTCCTTATCCCCGCCTTGCCCACAAGCCACATTCTATTTATAGCTAACAATCAACAGTTGGTGATTTCTACAATGCGATAGTCGATATATCGATCGTTCTGTTCGGCCAGGAATATAACTCGCGTACCGATGTCGACCATCTCACTACCCAAATCGAAGGAGCGGCGCACGATGCTCACCAAGATATCGCCCTGCTGAGTACGGACATTCAATACAATATATCTGGTCATCCAGACGACTATTCCCGGATCAAAGATTTGAGCTACCAAGTTTATAAACATACCAAAACTTTTGCGAAGCTCTTGGATAAGACAAAAGGCCGAGAAGACTGGTCTAAGCTGTCTGTCAAGGTACCTTCTGAGTCTACCAAGAATCAAAAGGGATCATTGTCTCCAAATACAAAGTCGGTTTCATTTGACAGCTCGTCTCTGTCTGCCGGCAGCAGATCTGCTCCTACGAGCCCGTATCAACCCACCGTAGAAGAGATCCCGGACGGTGGGGAGGATGAGGAGACTCATGGGGTTCAGGAATACCATGTCGATCCACCCTTGTTCCCCCAGTCCAAGGCTGGAGCCTCAGCCACATACAACCTTGCGCGGGCGCCTGAGCGAACTACTCCGTCACCACCGAGAGTAGTGCTTCGCACTGCAACTGATCCAAAGACATTGGAGTCGCAAGTTCACTCCTTGCACTTTGATGATGATGAGGGCGCAGCCCAGCCAACTGGCGTTGCTGAAGCATGGAGGAATATGGGCAACCCTGTTCGGGCATCGCCAAAGAACGCGGACATGGATTCTTCATTTCACAGTGTAACTGCG